TGCAATCTAACTTCTAAAGCCCATTCAAAGGATGAGATCAACCAGAGCGTGGATGCCTGCAATTTAAACAGGAAAGCTGGAGTCTTGTTTGTCTTCACACCTTGTCTGCTCCAGGAGAAAGTCATCTCCTGGAGCAGTGGTTCTCAACCTCCTAATGCCAGACCCTTTAATGCAGATCCTCATGTTGTCTGTGGGCATATCTGCAGATGGGGGGACCCGCCTGGAGACAGAGGAGCAGTGTCTCGGTTCCTAACCATCGGAAATATGTGTTTTCTGATGGTCTTAGGCACCCCCTGTAAGAGTTGTTCCACCGCCAAAGGGGTCGCGACCCACAGGTTGAGAACTGCTGTCCTAGAGGCTTTTCATGGCTGATTTTGTGATAAAGTTTATGTGTCCCAAAGGTTATACTATGGTTTGAAGTTTTAAAGAATTAGTCTACACTTTTTCAAATCAATTATTTAATATTGCATTATGGAAGAAACTGTCTATATCATTCTAATAAGGTTGTTCTATTAGGGAGATTTCACTCAACTCTCAATCTGTTTTTCAGATCCAAAATAAAAGACCCAATGTCTAAATTATTCCAAATGATTTGCCTATGGTATACTTTTTGTCCTAAAGTAATTTTCTTGCCTATGGTATACTTTTTGTCCTAATTTTCTGTGGCTCATATGGTTTGATGCTGCCCAGTGCCATCAAGTAGCACACACTATTCGGTGATAAAAGCCAGTGCAGGTGTAGACTTCCTATTCTCTAACTAAAAAAAAGTAAGTTAGACCTCAAATTCACAAAGGAAAGTTGTTTTCAATCATGTTAAGTTGTACTATCATGAGGAAGGAGGTGGTATGACTGATGGGTTAATACAAAATTCACTGTTAAATTAGGTACAAATTAGTTAATGGTAAAGAGGGATAGTGTGGATATCCCTAATTATGGATGTATCTGGGGATTAATGGAGAAATCCATAGATAATCCATAAATCCAGTCATTTTCCATTTTCCAACCCCTTAAGTAATTTACAAATTGACTTTATTTTTTGTGCCTTTTAAATCACTGTGAGGGATTCAGGTTTGAGGAAAATCCAGGGGTCAACAGCAACAGCAAGTTGGCTGATTATCTGGGAAGTCACACCCACAATTTTTACTATGGTCACTTGTGTTAAGTCAACACTACGCTGTCAGGCTATCCAGTGGCACTGAAGGAGTTAAATAGCATCCCCAGTCCCCTAGTTTCTAGACCCTCAGAGGATGAAGTAGTAAATATGTGTTCCATTCATAGGTGCCTCTGACCTTGGTCTGTCAGAGGAAGGGCGTGTCTTCTCACACTGTTCCCATGAAGAAAAGGCAAGCGAAGGAGGGTGACTCAGGGCTTCTAGTGGCCTACACACGACTGAACGTTTTTCTGAATGATTCCACGTATACACTTTGGAATCAGGAAGAGAAACAGTTTACTCTTCACTAACCAAACAAAACCATCTATAAATCATATGCAAAACAAGTTTGAGTAACAAGGGACTTAAAAGTCATTCCATATTTTCCCTTTAACTTTTCTACCCCTTTGGAGTATAAACAAAGACATCTGCTACATCAAGAGTCTGGTTTGTTTTTAAACTGGAAACTGAATGCAATCATAAAAGTTTACTCTGAAGGGAGCTTTTGAAATTTAAAAATGACTTGTGCAAGCTGCACTACTTTAAATGTCAGTAAAAATAAAATCTAGCATTAAGTTAAAAAAGGTTAACATTTAACTTAATTTTGAAAAATTGTGCTGCACACTATATTCTATGATTTACTCAGTAAGAATGCTGCTTCTTGTGAATTGCCTCAAACAGGCTAAAAGATGTCATTAAAATAAAGTGGCGAGTCACAGTTATTGGGCCATCCTAACAAAACTGTTGCCGTTTAACTTAAAACACAGTGAGACTACGCATCCCCACCTATCCTGACTCCTTAGAAGTTTCACAACTTCCTTTCACAGAGAAGGCTGCTGCCAAGCCATCGATCAGTAAAGAACAAAAGCTGCAAACACCTAGAAATTTCTTACTATGTGATAGTAGAGTGTAGTTTGTAAATGTATCTCCTGCTTTCCAGCTTTTATCTCTATTTATAAATTCTGGCTTCAGGATAGCAATAAAGCTCCTACATGGCTTTGGCTCTGACTATTCCACAGCTTTCCAAAGGGTGGGCTTTTTTCTCATTTGTCTTCAGCGCATTTCATTTGGCCCAACAGGGCTGTTTCACTCCAAAGCTTTCCAGAGAGCAGCTCCATGTCTTGACAGTCTTTCCGATGTCGTCACTACCTCCCCTTCCAATGTACTATTGCAAAACGGGGCTGGCTCTGCTGCAAGTCGAACAACAAACAAGTGCTTTCCGGCTGCACTCTGCAGGCTCTGCACTGTGCTCCCCTCCGGCGGCCCTTCCCTGCCCCAGCACTTTTTTTCTCTTTGTGTTGCGTCTTTTATCTCTGTTCTGCAGTCCCAGTCAAACCCCGACCCCAAACCCACACATCCTTTAGTCTAATTGCCATTAGTGGTTAGGGCAATAGCCATTCTAACCTTACTTTAAAAAATTAAAAAAGGCCTCAGAAAATGTTCAGTGCTCCCAATTTTATTTTTATTTAATGCTAAAAGTTAAAGAAAAAAAGTACTGTAAATCTGACAAAGGACAGAATGCAGGTGATATTTCCATAGCGTGATTTTAAAATATAATAATGTTGATATCTGATGTTACACTCACTTCAATTGACATGAGTTTCATCATATATAGAAAAAGTATCACCTTCAACTTAAAAAAAAGTAAAGGTTGAAAGGTGGCCCACTTTTAAATACTCGGTGGCCAAGGAAAGGTATATAGTAAAAGTCGTAAACCATGTGTACGTTCTCATCACCTTTAACGTGAGGCCACATGAAAGACAGTTCATCTGTTAAATCCTATGAATCAGTAAAGCAAAAAAGAGAAAGCTTCAACACCCAGCCCTTAATATTTTGAGTATGAAAAGCACAGCTGAAACACCGGGATTTGAAATCTGATACTGCCCATGTACAGTAAGTAGCTTTCTGACATTTTTACCCAGCTGTGGAGAATCTCTGTACTGTCATCAGGTACAACAAAAGATCAAACCTATGTCCCAATGTTAACTTTTTAACTGAAGAAACAGCCAGAAAAATAACCCAGATCAACACTTTCCAGCTGCAAGTCTTCCACAAAGGCCACCCAGACTCATGCAAACCTTCTTTTTAATAGGAGGAACCTCCACACACAGCCCATTCAGGCTGCTGGTTTTCTCCCCCTTAACCATCAGCAGAGAAGCCTTACGTTGTCTTTTCCACAGCTGGACAGACTTATTCAGAACAGCAGGATGGTTCTTTATTATTCTTTTTGGAAAGCTATCTGTATTAAGATTGCAAAACATACAGATAGCTACCACGAATTAGGTCAAATGGCTGATCAACTTGTAACGTCTAAGAGGTCAAATTCCAGTTTATAGTAAAGTGCCTAGATACACATCTATACAACAAACCGTAATAGCTGCATTCTTTACAAATGTCCCTATAGGCATGTAAGACTGTTTCTGCATGTGTACATTTACATAAGAGAAACCAGTCCCAGCTGAGTCATAGCTACCCCAATTTTTAAAAAGTAACAACAAACTGGTTAACATGCAAGTCTGTTGGTCACATAACAAAGACTGGTAACATGGATTCGCACAGCATTAATAGGTGCACTCATTAAAAACATTATGAAAATACTGTATTTGGTGCAGTATCTGATTTTCAAGTGTTAATAACACAACCATTAAAAAATATTTGAGCAATTTAAAAAAGAAAAGAAAACTAAAAATAACCCCAAGAGGGTAACAAACTATAATTTCAAATTAAAACAGAAACTGGGTCGTGAACGGTACACGTAAGTTGTAATAGACCTTTGAGCAATGATTCGGCCTAATATCAGGGCCAAGTTACAAACACCTGAATATAAAAGGACTTAAAATAGTGTTCCTGTGGATGTTAAAATACAAAAGAAAAAAACCAGTATCCACTCAGAGATAACTATTTCTAATATCTGATGATTTGCTGGTTTTAAAAAAATCACTTTACTGATGCAAAGTAGTAATCAAAAGAAATTAGTTTACAAACTCTAAAAATAGTTTGAGAGGTGGGGCCTGTCTATTGTGTAAAACCTTTTAATTTTCACTTATCACTTTTTTCCAGAAGAACTGTATTATTCACTTGGTATTTCAAACAGGTAAAAAGGACACGACGGTTTCCGCCACCCCACTTGGGCTGTCACTGGTATGCCCACGGGCGGTCCTGGCAGCAAGCACCACGTGTGCTGCTGTCACTGTACACACTGTATGCAGCACTCACAAGAAACAGGGTGCAAGTGATAGTGTCAACAGCAATAGCACGACAGGTAAATGATATAAAACAAAACACAAAACAGAAACAAAACCAATCCCACAATCTCCACGTTCCCCTGGACTGGAACTTCTCTTGCAACTCTTTTCAAAGGAAATGACAACAACAGACCTCTGGGTGTTTACAAAGATGAGGTGGCGCTGCAGAACCAGGCCCTGTTCAAAGATGGCAGTGCCATCTCGTACACACCACTGTCATCACCACCTTCCGTCACTCAACTGTGTATTATGTAACCAACTAGCATGCAGCATTATAACATTACACCTGATTACGTGGACCGTGAACAGTGGTCAACTTTGTCTTAAAATAAAATTCCCTCAAAACCAGTCCCAAAAATCTCTCAGCAGCAATTCCCAGGCAGTCCTCCACGTCCCAACAACTTAACTTCTAGAACAAAGTAGTCTCAGGATCTATCTTCCTAGTACTCTACGAGGACAGTGTTCAGGGGGCAAACTTCATGGCATTTCCCAGTGGCACACCCACTTCACAACAGTGCCCCTTTCACTCATTTCCTCTCCTCCTCCACCAGTGGCCTCCAGCCTGAAAGGGCCAGCGATAAGGAATAACAGACAGTAAGGCAATCTTACAATGTCAGAAAATGTATTTGGCTTTTTTTTCTTTTTAAAGTAAGTGCATACAAATACAGCTAGAAGCATTTCGGGTTTTGCCAAGTGCTCTAAAAAAGCAGCGCAAGTCACAGCCTACATTGAACGGTAACTGTCACCAGAATAATAAAGCACAGAGATATGCTAATAACGTTAACAAAAGAAGAAAATGCCTTTATAAGTACATACCTTTTGTCGTCAAAAAAAATATAGAAACACAATGTATTCAAAAAAATCAAAATTATACAACCATGTTTTATGAAGTCTACGTTTCCCTTGTCATGGATATATATGGAGAGATATATAGACAAATAGATATATCTATCTATCTATCTCTATATATATACACATATGGAGATATATATACAATTCAAGCAGTTTTAGTTAAGGGTAACAACTGGGTTTTCTGAAACCGTCAAGTCACGAGTCTCTCTCTTTCTTCACTTTCACATCTCCAGCAAGGATCGTGGCGATCTCCCCTTGCATAAAAGCCCAGGGGACATTGGAGCCCACAAGAGGGCATTTTTCCCCACTGGGACAATAGACCTCTCCACTAGCTCCCTGCTGTTTGATGCTTTGTCTGGAGCAAGGGAAGCAGAACTTGTGTGAAGGGACTGATGGGCACTGCACAAAGTGTGTGTCCTCCAGCCGCTCATGGCAGAGGGTGCAGCACAGGGGGGCACTGGCTGCCAGAGAGGAGTCCGGGAGGCTGGCAGGGTGCACTGGCTCCAGTCCTCCTGTGCTGCCTGCCCCCTGGCCCCCCACCTCTCTGGGGCCTAGCCTTCTTTGGTTCATAGAGGATGGAGAAGGTGGACTGCTGCTATTCCTCCTGGCTGTGGAGTGAACCTGGTTGGCATCTTTTGAGGCATGACTGCCCCCTGCATTGTCTGCTACTAAGATCAGGGCTGCCATGGGGGACTGGCCATTCTGGGCCGCTTCCGGCGGTGTGGTCCGGTTGGAATGAGGAGAGGCAGTGGGCGGTGGTGGAGACACAAAAGAGGATGTTGGATTAATGGGGATCTTGAGCCCTTCTGTGGACGTGGACAGCCATGGCTGTGCCTCTCCATTGATCTTAGGGGGCCCGACTTCACCTTCTGGTTCTGGAGAAGGCTTCCTTTTCCTTGCTGTTCTTGCAACTAAAAAAAACAAAACAAAAAAAAACCAAGCAAATAAAAGGGAGAAAAGAGAAAAATAAATAAACACACACTGAAAAGGATCTTCCTATAACATGAAATCAAACCCAGTTCTACCCTCTAAAAGCCTGTATATAAAAACTCACTTGAGTCCCAAACACACGTGCAACTTTTAAAACACTTAGGGGCTTACTCCCAAGGCTCTACAGAAGTTTTTTTGTTTTTAAGCCAAAGAAAATGGCTCGTATATAATTGCCTGTCTTTACACTCGCATGCATGCCCCTGGTTTAACTATGCATATGCGTTTAGAGGTTCCCCAGCAGGTTGGAAGGTGACTGGTGCCCTCCTGCTCCATCCAAGAATGTGCTGGGAAAGGAAAACCCTGTCAGTGCCTATCAGCCCAGTCTGACTCATCTCTGTTGTGCTGCTTCAGCACATGAACACGTTGCCACTAAGCACTGGTTCCGCCTGGGGCAGAGCAGGAAGTTTGTTGTTTGTTGTTTCTGGACTAGGGTAGAATGGTGAATGGAAAGAATACACCCCCATCCCCCTCCGCGCGCCTGCTCTCGGTCCCCTTCTCCCCTACGTCCCCTGACTCCACAGCCGCCCCTACCTGCTTTAGACCCGTTGGCCCCGTTGGCCTCGAACCCCAACAACCTGCCTGCAGTCAGGGTCGGCTCCTTCTTAAACTTGCTCTCGAAGGGCCCCGAGTGGCCATGCTGGTGCAGCGCCAGCAGCGTGTCCCGCACGGTCTTGGGCCGGTTGACCCAGTCCTGCTCCCCGGGCGCGCGGCCTTTGCCCGCGCCCTCGGCGCCCAGCTCGGCGGCCCCGGCTGCAGTGGACAGGCCGTCGGCCGGGCCGCGGTGCGCAGGCGGCGGCGGCTTCTCCTTGGCCGCCGCCTCGCGTTGCTCGTGTTCCGCGGCCGCGCAGCTCGACACGGACGCGGGCCTCTTGTGCGCGCCCAGCTCGGAGGGCGGCGCGGAGCCCAGGCCGGCGGCTGCAGCCCCCGAAACGGCGGCCAGTGAGGCAGAGGCGCGGCCGCTGAGCCCCAGAGCGGCGGGCAGAGGCGCGGCCGAGCCGTTCATGAGCGGCACGAGCGTGGGAGGCACGGCGTGGCCGCGCCGCGGGTTCGGGCTCTGGCGGTTCAGCTCCGGCGGCTCCTCCAGCTTGGAGAAGCCGTTGGGCACCAGGATGCCGTTCACCGGCGGCGGCTGCGGCGTCGGTGGCTGGGCCAGGCCCGCGGCCGGCCGAGCGCCGCCGAAGTCGGGGCCGAGGCGTGGGGGCCGCTCGGCGGCGGCCAGCGGGTATCGCTCCAGCGCCTGCGGGGCGCGCGGGGCCGCCTCGGGGCCGGGGTGGCCCAGCTGCTGCTGCTGCAGGAGCAGGTCCTTGGCCGAGAGCGGCGGCGGCTTGGCGGCGGCCGGGGCGGCGGCGCCGGGCGGGGAGCGGCCCTCCGGGAAGCAGCCGTGCGCCCGCTTGAGCTGCCGCGCCGTCTCGATGACAAACTCGACGCGGTCGGCGCCCTCGTAGTTGACGCAGCCGCGGCACACGGGCTCCGTGAAGTCCCAGATCATGGCCCAGGGCATGCGGGGCAGGTCACACAAGTAGCAGGACTGCCGCCGGGACGCGGCCGCCACCGCCACCGCCGCGGCCATGTCCGCGGAGCCCGCGGAGGAGGGGGCGCCGCCGCTCGCCGCCGGCCCCGCGCGCGCCCTCCTGCCCCCCCAACCCCGCGGCTCCCCCACCAGCGGCGGCGGCGGCCGCAGGGGCGACAGGGGCGGCGGCAAAGGCAGAGCCCGCGCGGGCTCGGCGCCCGCGCAGCGCCCCCGGGGCACAAGGGGCGGCGGGCGCGGGGCGAGGGGCTGCAGCCGCGGCAGCACGGCCCCCCGGCGGGCGCGGGCGGGCGGCGGGCGCGGCGGCGGGGGCTCGGTCGGGGCCGCGGCGGGCCTCCAGACCGGAGCGAAGACGGGCCGCGCGGGCGCGGGCGAGCGCAGCAGGTCGCGGCGGCGGCGGGCGCGGAGTGCGGGGCGGGGGGCGGGGAGGGCGGGGGGCGGGGAGGACGGGGGGCGGGGGCCGGGGGGCGGCCGCCGGGGCAGGCTCAGCCCGAGCGGCGGGGCATGCCACGCCGGGGCGGCGGCGGTGGCCGGGCGGCGTGGAGCCCAGGCGCGGCACGGACCCCGGGTCGCTCCGCTGCTCCCTCACAGCTCCTGGCGTCGCCGCTCTCCAGCGCGCGCGTCAGCGCCCAGCCCGCCTCAGCTCCGCCGCCGCCGTGGCTGCTGCTGCTGCCGCCGCGCTGCTCCACTTCTACAGACTTGATTCTTCGACAGCCTCGCACGGCGCCTGCGCGGGCCCCCTCCCCTCGTGCGCGCGCGCGCGCCCGCCCGCCCGCCCGCCCTGCCGCGCGCGCGCGGCCCCGCCGCCCCTCCCCTGTGCGGACGCTGAGTGCTGCTCGGTGAGCCCGCTCTGTGCGGGGTGCGCGTCCCAGCGGAAGGCGCTGCAAGTGCGAGGCGCTGTCCTTCGGCTGCCCGGCGACCTCCCTTGGTCGGGACTCCCTCTCTGTCCATTGGGATAAAATCGTCCTAAACCTCGTGCTTTAAAACGGAGGCCACTTTGGGACGTGGTCGGAAGCAGCGTGGCTCACAGGGTTTGAGGAGTTACACTGGTCATGCTTTACACTGCATGTGTCTGGGGAGGGGGCGCCGCCCGCGCCCTTTTGGTTTCCTAACACAGGACGGCTGTTCCGAGCCTGGCACCTTCCGGAAGGCGAGGGGCGGAGAACGACCTTCCGACACCGAGCCCTCCCCACCCACCCGCCTCTCCACCAAGCGCGGCCCTGGCGGCGCCAGCACCGGGCCGTTTATGTAGGTCTGAAGCGGGCGCGTGACGTGGGCGCGGGGCCGAAGCCCGCGTGCGCCATCGCCGAGTGCGCACGCTCCGCGCGGACGTGACTCGGCGCCGCTGGCGGCCTCGCGGAGCAGACGCACATTCCAGGGATCCGGGTCTGCGGCCAGCGCGTCGCGTCACTGCGCAGCCCCCGCCCCGCGGCGGTCCTGCGGCTCCAGGCCCCGCCCCCGGCCGCCCCGCTCTGGGCCCCGAGTGGATTCTAGGTGGCGCGGCGCGGGCTGTGGGGTGAGCGCTGGCCAGCCGGCCGCTCGCGAGCGTCGTGGGGGCGCGGAGCGGATGTGCGCCCACCGCGCGGCCCGGGCCACGCTGTACCCCGGTGGGGCAGGCCGCGCCTGGCGTGAACCACCAGCCTGCCGCGCCCCGCCACGGTTGGCAGCCACAGCTCTGCCCGGGCTGAACTCAGCACTTGAGTTTCACACTTGCATCGGGAGGAGGAGCTGGTGTGTGCTATAGTAAATCACTTTTGGCTGGTCGTTAGTCTTACTAATAGACGCAGGCTTAGTCACTTTCAGTTGGGACTTTGACACTTCAACCCCACAAGGGCTGCCTCTGGAGCTGCTTTTGTTGGAAAACAGGCTCACATGGCTTCTTGAGACTGGAATGAGCTGGTTAAGTGTGGGAAGAACAGGGCACTAATTATATTATCTTTCCTACCACTGGATTGGTAGGTGGAGAGAGAAAAATCCTGCTGACGTTTCTCCTTAGTTGTTGCTATTGAAAATGCCAGGTTGCTTCAAAGGACTAACCACAAGGAAGAGGAAAAACACCCTTAGAAAAACAGTGGAGGGAGCTGCTTAAAGCACATGAGAAAACCTGTTCGCAATGGTGCAGAAAACGTAATGCCAGACCTAAATGTTTTTTCAGGCTAATGCTGAACCTCCTCTTGGGGATTTCCAGAGAAGGCGCGCCTGCCATAAAGGTCTCCCCCTCTGTTCCAGATCCTGCCCCACAACTGCAATCCTGCCTCATCTCTCCTGGCTGGGGAAGCAGCTGGGGACAGTGGGTTTGGTCACTCCTGGCCCTTGCTGTCGCACCTCCTTCGGGTCCTGTCCCTTTGGCCACTCTCCGTGGAGACCGTGTGCCACGTTCTAGCACGTGACCAGGCCCACTGGGCCACTGCCCAAAGGGGAAAAGGCCTAATCTGTGCTGCAGGGAGATGCGCCATCTCAGCACCCCAAAGAGATGGCCCCACTAGTCAGTGACAGAAACACTACAAAACTAGGTGTTAGAGCTATGGCCTAATTATACTCATTTACCGGCTAGCGGCACTGATACCCTCAAGGGAAAGCCGGAAGTGGAAACACTGAGATGCAACTGCCTTAAAGGTACTAGGTAAGGATTTTTGTAGCACAGAGCTTTTCTTCTCCAAATGGAGAGCAGTTCCTTTTTGTTCTACACTACCAGTTTAATGTCGAAACTGGGTTGATGTAACTTCCCTAATGAAATGCCCTCAGGAAAATGGAAAGGCTAGTTTATGGTCTCCTTGGCCACAAAAGGATCCGGGATCGAGGGGGTTAAGGATGGTGCTGGATCCAGGGCAGCAATTCCTTGTATTGTATCCAGTCTTTCCTGCTGCCTGGCCTTTCATGTAGCTCTGAAGCAGCTTTATCGATGTATGCTAAGTAAACACAGCTTTGTTTTTGTCCCCCACCCCCACCCTCCCTCCCAGTGCAGCCTGGCCCTGGCTCCCATCCAAAGCTGGCTGCAGCAGTCACCGCCTCCTCGAGCCCAGGAGCGGGGTTTCTAGGGTGAGGCAATGCGTCTGCAATGCGCAGAGACAAGGCAGTAATTGTAATTGTAGTTCATCATGTGATGACTTATGAAAGAGGAAGTCGGTATGTTTTAGTCACGTAGACTCTGCCCTCCTGCTTAAGGCCCCAGGTCCTCTCAGAAGAGAATTATGGTAATCTTTGCCTTTCACAGTCAAGGTTAGCAGCGTGGCTGCAGTGAGCTCCCACCCATGCCTATGCAGACAGGCAGGCTGAGGCCCTGTGCAGTGTGGTGGGCCAGTGGGTTGAGTCGGCTTTTAACCAGAATGTTGAAATGCTGCAATTTGACTTAAGAACTAAAGGAAATATTCTTCAGGGAACACGCCTGCTGAGAGTCTGGAGGAATCAGCAGCCCTTTCCAGCTCTAGTTTCTAAGATTAAAAAAAAAAAAACAAACAAAAAGCACAGTTTAGAAACAAAACGAAAGCCATTCAGTGTGATACTGACAAAGCAGGAGAAAGGGAAGTGATGGGAAGGTGACCCAGAGGAAGCCGCTCAGAGAAGGGCTCAATGGGAAGAACAGAGCTGTCCACGCACGCTGAGGTTTCCATGGGCTCCCACGGTGTGAGCATTGAAATTCAGAACCTGCTCCCCAGAGCTTACTGCAGCCCAGACGCTCTGTGCTGACCGTTAACAGGGCAGTGTAAAGAAATAGTTCCTAGCCCTGGCCAGTTTGCAGAGCGCTTAGAGCGTAGGCCGGACCAGAGAGTCCCAGGTTCCCTCCGCTAAGGGCACGGACCTCCATTGCGATTTGTCCGCGGCCAGTGGGGGCTGTGTGGGTGGCAATCAGTGGATGTATCCCTCTCAAATCTATGTTTCTCTTCCTCTCTTTCTCCCTCTAGTTCTATCTGAAGATAAATGCAAAAATGTCCTCAGTGAGGATTAAAAAAAAAATCGTTCCTACCAGAGGACATGCAGCTGCGGGAGGGTGCCTCCCCCGACCCCCAGCAATGTGTGGGTGCTGTGCAGGCGATGGTGTTCCAGGGACTGCTGAGTTCATGTCTTCACCCTATATCCACATGTGGAGCCACAGCCTGCATTCTTTAGAGTGCACGCTCTATTAATAGCAGAATGTCGCAAGCGTACTAAAGCTTCTTAAACTCTGACCCTGGCATATTTGAAGGAGAAAACAGTGCAGTGATACGTCTTTTGGATTTCTGTGGATACCATCCCAGAGGCTCCTTGTACTTGAGCAGAGTGCCATAAAACGAAAGAACACGTGTGATATTCAGGGATTTTCAACTTTAAAAAGTTATATATTTGAACATATTTGTTTATATGAATGCATCTACACATACTGTTGAGAGTCAGGACATAAATGAAAGTTATATAATAAATATGAGAGCCTTTATTCTAAGTACTAGCAGTGTTTTATGAGGCAATTCTACTGTTTTTCAAATTACAAATATACTTCTTTAGAAATACTTCCCCTTTGTTTGACCTCTCCCTGTAGCCTGCCTCCTCTGTGCACAGAAAGAATTTGGATATTAAAGGGGCTTTTGCCTGTGGAGGAGATAAACTGTGGAGGGCCTAAGAATCAGGCCCAATCGTCACAGGAGCTTATCATCTGCATATTCCACGCAGACGCAGTCAGTCACCAGCCTCTGTGCAAACATATGTACAGGTCTCCATTAGAGTAAAATATGGGGTCTTGATGTAGGTTAACTACTGTGTCAGAATTTAAGGAACTGAGTGAAAAATACAGACAGAGGAGAGATTGAGGTCACACACTCGCTCAGCCTGCAAGGAAATGTGTAGAACTGGAAGGGATTCAACAACCGATTGATGCCAGACCCTCCTATTGCCTTTCTGGAAAGAGCACTTTGCTGGAATGGTGTCTGGATGAGGGCTTAGCTCATGTTTAAGACACGAAAATCCTCTAAAAGGAAGAAGAGGCTGAAAAAAACAGTGAACTAACTTCACGGATAATGTTTGACAATATTTAAATGGTAATTTTTCTCTCATTAGCTTACTTAAAAATTTT